GTTGTGTATTGATTATATTTTTGAGCAAGTTGTGTAAATGTCGCAATTGTATTTGTGTAAATCGTGTATTTATGCTAGTTGTGTATTTTCATATTTGGGGTAGTTATGTATTGTACGTATTTGTGCTAGATATGCATTTGTGCAAGTTGTGTGTAATAATTATGAAAGATGTGTAATATTGTATAAGTTGTGTATTAATTGCGCATGTTGTGTAATTGCATATGGACGAATTGTTTATTTATACCTTTGCGTATTGATTGTCATTGTGCAAGCTGAGTAATTATATAGCAAGTTTTCTTGTATTAATTGTGCAAAGATGTAAAATAATTACACAAACTGTGTAATAATCGTCCATGTTTTATAATAATTTTTGTGATAATAGTGCATTTATGCAAGTTGTGTTTTTAATTTGTTGAAGTGGAACTGGTGCAACTGTATTTGTGTGTGAAAATTGTGTATTTTGTGTAAGCTCTGTAATTTGATAAAATAGATCTTCATGGTGTAAGTGTATTTTGGTTTATGAGACAATGTGTGGGTAATTTGTGAAAATTACGTTTGTGAAATTGTGTAATTTTAGTGAAAGCGCATTTTTGATTGTCTAAATGCATAAGCATTTTGATATATTTGTGCAAAATACCGTACTTTGTGTAAATGTCATACTCTGAGTGTACATGCAATATTGTGTAAATGGTATATTTTTGTTTGCAACTGACATATTTTGTATGAAAATCTCATATTTTTATGTGATGGTATATTTTGAGTGTAAATAATATATTTTATGCATAAATGGCATATTTGGTGTGTAAATGATGTATTTTCTGTGTGTATGGCATAAATTACATCTGATTAATGGGGAAATGGTGGCAAAAAACTAGGCTATTCTCTATGAATGCATAGGTTTTGAAGTATGTGTAGGTATGCATGATTGTATTTGCGAGTGTTGGTTTAGAAACAAGTTAGCTGATTTGCGTAGCAAGACTAGGATTTTTTGAGGTGTAGAAATGATTAGCCTATGAATATAGTGGCTAACATCCAGCTGAGTTGCTAGATGGATGAATTGAGGTGCGACATTTGGATATCTATTTGATGGATGTGAGGACAGTTGACTAGCCTATGAACACAGCCACTAATCCGCTGTACTGCCAGATGTGTGGTAACTACTTGTGGATTATAGTAGAATATCTAGCTATAGGGTTTCATAATTGCTGTTGTGTATAAAACTAGAATAAGAGCTATTTATTAAAACTATTATTGTAAACTAATACTTTAAGTGGGATCCCTTGGTTGTTTTAAGCATAGGGTGGACATGAATGAGATTGGGTGGAAATATATAGGAGCTGCCTCGTATGGGCCAATAGGACCTCTGCAGTTACCTTTATTCTTATGTTCAGCTCACCTGCTATGCTGCCAGATGTACGATTCTGCTTAAATTGCAGTACGACATTTGGGCTTCTGTTATACTTTTGAACTTATCACTGAATAATGATTACAGTTGTGGATGACTAAAATGTATGTTCTTAAACCTCTGATTAGGTTAGGTGGGGATGGTTAGTCTAGTCATTTTTGAATAATAACATTAAATACTCATGCCAGTAGGACGCCAAAGGTCGCATTGGTTGTCTGGTGACGTCATACATAGTTGACCAGTAAGGTACTGTAATACCTTTACACCTATATGCTAATGACCAGCAATACATTATCCCTATACCTGAGTTCGCTTTTCACGATGTCACTAAACAACAACAATAACTGGTCTGTAGAATGTATGTAAACTTTTATTACTATTAATAGAAACCCAATGTATATTCTTAAACCTCTGATTAGGTTAGGTGGGGATGGATAGTCTAGTCATTTTGATTAATAACATCAAATACACATGCCAGTAGGACGCCAAAGGTCGCATTGGTTGTCTGGTGACGTCATACATAGTTGACCAGTAAGGTGCAGTAATACCTTCACACCTATGTGCTAATGGCCAGCAATACATTATCCCTATACCTGAGTTCGCTTTTCACGATGTCACTAAATAACAACAATAACTGTTCTGTAGAATGTATTTGTTTGTTATAAATAATATGTTAGGTTAGGTTAGGTTAGGAAGGTTTGATCGGGTTTATGAATAACAGAAAATATAAGTAATGAGCGAAAATACGAGCTATTGTAGCTGAATATCAACTTTGATGAAGCACAGAGTATAGGTGAGGTATTAAGCTAGATTAAGAGTTCACACTTATGTGTGAACCTCCTGGGATCCGCATTTAGCCCGTTGACGCCTCGCGCCACATTAGGGATGATGACGTCACAAAAGGTGGTAACTGCAGAAGGCCTTATTTCAAAACATGAGAGGCTTGCTTTTACTGAATGAGTTTTTTTATTTGTTAAATGCTACAGTATGGTGTGGGAGGTATGTTTTGAGCGAATGTGAGACGCGCATAAGGAAAGGGTCACTACCGAACTCGCATTGAAATCACAAATGCCCAGGCCTCTGTTTTTTTAATATAAACGACTGATAGCAGTTTTATTTTTTGCCCTATGTATAATAAACAATCCTTTAAGAAAGATTGTCAAAGCTCAAATTACTTTCTCTAGAAAGACGACGACGAAGAAGAAATAGGGGTGACATGATAGAGGTGTGACTGAATGGTCATAGTAAAGGGGAATATTATTAACCTATTATACGTATCAACATGAAACAGAATAGGAAATGAACTGGATAAGTTTTATATTTAGGAAAAAGACCTGGGTAAATACTGGTTCTGTAAACAGGGTTTGAACTCATTTCTTATGTTATTATTATGTAATCTTAGCTATAAAATGATCTTAGACAATGGGAAACCGTATGGTAATACCTAATTGTGAAAAAACGAGCTTATAATGGTTAACGCCATTGCACATTAGACTTGACAGAAGGCAGCATTTGAATCTCCCTTTGCTATAAATATTGAAAATGGGAATAATTACACTATAACAGAAAACGGACTTATACAGGGAAGATGAAGACGGGGGTGACGTCATTGACCATTAGCAATGTCTGTGCATGGCCCACTGGGGTAACGAAAAACAGGTACGCCAGAACGTGTCCCATAAAAACTGCAACGAAAAACAGGTACGCCAGAACGTGTCCCATCAAAACTGCAACGAAAAACAGGTACGCCAGAACGTGTCCCATCAAAACTGCAACGAAAAACAGGTACGCCAGAACGTGTCCCATCAAAACTGCAACGAAAAACAGGTACGCCAGAACGTGTCCCATGAAAACTGCAACGAAAAACAGGTACGCCAGAACGTGTCCCATCAAAACTGCAACGAAAAACAGGTACGCCAGAACGTGTCCCATCAAAACTGAGATGAAAAACAGGTACGCCAGAACGTGTCCCATCAAAACTGTAACGAAAAACAGGTACGCCAGAACGTGTCCCATCAAAACTGAGATGAAAAACAGGTACGCCAGAACGTGTCCCCTTAAAACTGCAACGAAAAACAGGTACGCCAGAACGTGTCCCTCGAAAAAAGCAAAACGGACACGTTATGGCGTACTTTCCACTACTGGAGCGTATGTCTTGCTTTCCGACCGCCCCTCGCGGTCACCTGTCCCTCGATAGAATTCTTGGTGACTCGGATACTTTTGATATCGTTCGCCTTATGCGTTTTTGTTCTCGTATTGGCATCCTTGGTGATATTTAGCGCCCTCTGATTATTTTGCGTCTTTGATGGTGCTACATAGCCTTCCCGGTTTGGTGCCTTCTTTTGATAATTACTTACTTGCAGTGCACTTGTCCGGCGCTTTGCAAACCCTTTGGCCAAGGGTTCTTATCCTACCCGGGGAGGATTGATAGTGTGCAAGGCCTTAATTAATAACTGTAGCCTATGTTCACCCAGCAGTGAATGTGTGCCTGGTTGTTAAACGATTTAGCGGGTCGTATTCCAAAGGATAATTAGGATTAAGGACCTGCCCGAAACGCTATGCTTACTAGTGACTTTACAAGAATATGAGAACTTTTGTATATTGAAAAAAATAATAAAAACAATTGCATTTCTCATTGATAATAGGAATTTAGGATTCGATGAGTCCCTCATCAAATTGAAACGCCGAACAGAAAACGGTAGAATTGTAGGTGGGACAAACGCTTTGCTCCAACACTAGTTAATTCGTCTTTCGATGTAAATGAAGTGAAATTCCTATGTCTGTGTGCCCTCTGAGGGATGCATAACATAGAAGACGGTTAATGAACTACTTGCGCTCACCTGTGGGATGGTAATTTAATTTTCCTTCCCACTTATTAGCTAATTATTTGAATAGGCAACTCGAAGCACTCTGTGTTCCATATCACTACTGTATTGAATTCCTATCTTGATTTTCTTGATGTAAATAAGATGTAACGTCCTATTTCTTGTATTAAGCTTACCCATGATAAATTCCAAAACAAATAAAAATCAATGTTTTAAATGCCAGTTCAATTGGAGGGCGGCCCTAACATAAAGATAACTGTGAGTGTGGTGGTACCCAGTCGTGGCAGGTGCGTGTTGCGTGTTAGAATGTCTTAGCATACTTACCTGGCACAGGAGACACGGTGATCACGAAGGCCGTTTTCCCAGGGCGAGGCTCACCATTGCACTCCGGTGGCGCTGACCCTTGCGATTAACCCAAATGTGGTTAACTCGGGTGCGAAATTTTTTTTAGCGGGGGACTGCGTTCGCGCTATCCCCCTTTGTAATTGCCCATGTGTTCGTAAAGTTGGTAAATGACATAACAGCTATACTACTCTCATTTGTTTCTTTAGCTAATGTTCAAACCTCTCGCAAGGTACTTTTTTCACAAATATGCATATATTTGGTGTGGTTTCATCTTTTAAGCATGATACCCCTTGAAAATGCACAATTCAAGACTTCATGTGGAGCCGTCCCAAATTCGTTTTCTCAAAGTTAGTGAGGAATTGGAAGCCTGTAACTATGCTTATATGGAGGTTTCCCTTTGCTAATGATTAACCTTCGTCCCCCAGGATGCTTGTCAATTGCGCTACATGGTCACCTGCCTCAACATTCAACAATTACGTCTGTGAAATACACTGACAAGAAGGACAGACGACTCTGAGGGAGGTCTGTGCTCAATGGAAAAAAGTGCTTGTAGCAGTGTCAAACGAGCATTAGTTTGCCTTCCTTTCCAGCTTCTGGCCAGGTAAAGCAATAACTTTTTAATTCAAAAGGGTTCCTCTCCCTATTTCGTTTAGAAGCTGATTACGAAATTTGCCTCGACAAATTTTAATTTGTTTCTTGTTGTCCATTCCACTTGATTGCCTTGCTTCTTTGTTCACTGCCTTGTTATAAATATATTGTATTTATAACAAGATATGTGTGAAACATCCTGTACTTTATCAGTGTTAAAGAGGAGAGTGATTATAGCTAAAGCTCTATCTCATTGATATGCATTTAGCGCTATCAAAGAACTTGTGCCTCTTAGTTTTTCTCTTCATGTTTTACTGTTTAAAAGTCAAAACATGAGTTAAAAGGCCGCTGCACCAAACCCAAAATTTAGATGATTATACGTTCATGGGACACCAATATAATAATAATACTGTAATGATGATAATTTGTTTAGGAACAGTACATAATACATAGTTGCAGTGCAAACATTGTTAGATTTAAAGATAGAGGTAGTACATACAATACCTAAAGCCACTAGTACGCATAGCGTTTCGGGCAAGGAGAGGTGGGGAAAAACACTTAGACTAAAACTTGATAGTAATTGAGCTTAATGAAATATATTCCTATATAAATTATGGAGTATGGCTAGAGAGTAAACGAACAGGATTTTTGTTGTAAATAAATGGCCTAACGACAACTAGTCTAAATGTTAAATGTGTACACAATAAACCAGTAGAAATTAATAGTTGCCGGGCCAAGTGTCCGTTGGTCGAGGGAACAACTCCAATCCTCCGTCCAGAACTGCTGTTGCAAAGACGTCAACTACGGGCTGGAGTGTTAGTTAGTTCCGGGACACTGCCGTGTTGTGCCAAAATAACGTGGCACCGCATTTTGTGGTTGTAGGAGCGAATAAAATGACACTAAGCAATTTCCTTGCAATGGCACCTCTCTCTTGCATGCTGCTAATATGGTGTCGCTAGTAGGAATCGTCTCCTTCCTCCCTGACTGTGATACGCATGCGCAGAACACTCCAAAGTATTCTCGAGCGTAAAGTATTTTATTTACTTATAATTAATTAGGGAAGAAAGGAATAGTGACAGGCATTTATGTCACTGATAAATGTATTAAGGTGCAATATATTTTTGCATAATGCAAGTCAGCTTACTAAGACTGCATATAAATAAGGAAAGGAATATTACATTGAATTGTTTTACATTATAATATTTTCCACTGTAGTTGTTAATTCACCTAAATAAGCGAGTTCAGTACGCAGTAATATGCTGTATAAATAAACAATTATCCTTAGTAAAGGAAAGTAATTAACTGGACTCTGTTTAAATTCAACTAAATGTGAAGATATTTCATGTTTCAACTTGCTACTACCTCCCGGCGTCATGGAAACTGTAGGAAGGATTTGGTAAAATACTGCGTCGCAATAGAAACATTAATTGGATTAATTCTATGAATTAGTAAAATTAGTAATTACTGTGGTTAATACAATAATGATATACATCATTTTTGTATAATAATACAAGTCTTGGATAATTTTCAACAGAAGCACCTGCAGGTAACCTCAAGGTATGGCAGTCTTGGAGTTCCTGAGCACTAGTCCCAACATGGTGTGGGAGAACAACGGTGCCAATGCTGGAATTCAACAGGGTGTTGATGAACATCTGAACTGGGGTCTTACCAAGGCAGGCTACCACCACCATTATATTGTAGAATGTCCCATACTGACTGACTTTCGCCCTCCCGGGCTAAGGTATGCTGAACTCTGTAATTACTATATGAGTACTGGAACACTTGATGATATTCCTATACAAATTGTGGAATGACCTTCCCAACCATGACTTGTATCCAAGATTGACTAGCTCTATGTAATATATCAATTATACAATGTATATATATGATGTAACTATATAACCTGAGCTTGTAAAAGCACCTTCATCACCTTCAGTGATTAAGTGCTTAATTGCACACTAGTTTCTTTATCAGCTATCTCACCCTGTCAGAGTAAATGAGACAAATGTATGTGAATGCATGTGTGTATATATGTATGTATATGTGTGTGTATGTATATGTATGGGTATAAAGTATATATGGAAGCTGATCAGAATTACATTTCACATTTGTGAATGTACATTAATGACACTATGTAAAAGACACATCAAACACTTTATGTAGGGCATACGTAAATCTGTGTATCTATGTATTTACGCATGTAGGTTAGCTTAGCATTTTAAAAGCACCGAATCACCTTCTGTGGTTGAGTGTTCAATAAACCCTTGAACTATATGTTTAACACTTCTCTAACCCTGTCCATGGAGGACAGAAGAAAATGTATATATGCTGGTTAGCATTGTAAATGTGTGGCCACGTCTGTGGTAGAAAATAATAATAATAATAATAATAATAATAAAAAAAAAAAAAAAAAAAAAAAAAAAAAAAAAAACTGAGAATGGGCTGCAACAACACGCCTGCTAGTCTAAGTAGGGTTAAAAGTAACCTGGGAATCTGCGGAGTCAACCAAGTGTCTATGGCTATGTACATTATCAGGGCAGGTAGAGTCAGTGGGATAAAGTTCATAATACTTAGGCCATGAAGGTGAACAAATCCTGGAATGCAGCAGGTGAAGTAGGATGCAAACGAGTACAATGCATGGGAATGGCGCCGAGACCCTCCTAGGAAGGAGGGGCCAGAAAGGTGCAGTTGTGACAATTGAAGGGGAGACACCAGGAAATAAAGTTGTCACTACAGGGGCCCTAAAGCTCAATTCAGCTACAGAAGCAGGAGGGGAGTGGGAAGAGTCGTAGGAGTAAAACTTTATTTTTTTTTTACACATAATTGTGTCCCAACTTGTTTAGTTTATCAAGAACAGAATATACCTTCCACCTAAGATTATTAGGGCAGTCCACCAGAAGTGTAAACAGTGCCCAGAACTCTTGATGTACAGGAATAAGCACAATATTATGTTGCGTAATAAGGCAAGTCAATATTTGGGTTTGAATCATTTAAACACACATGTCATAATTCCTAATTTATTTAAATACTTAGTTATAATTTACATAAAAACATAAGGTATTAGTTTGTTACTAGAAAGTGAATTCAATCCATCTCTGGCACATCAATGAAAGTGACACATTAATTAATACATTGATAGACACAACATTGGTGTCACTGCAGGTGTTGTCAAGGGGGACGTGCACTAGGCCTGCTGCTGTTATTCAGAGACCAGCATACACCATACTCAGACCCCTCCCATGAGTGTGTGTATTTGTATACAACATGCAAGACAAATTATGCACTTGCTGTTGTTTTTCCATCAATCGTGGTTTGACGTGTTAATCAACTAAGAGGCAAGCCCCAGACACATACAAAGCAAAAACCAGTAGTTTTTCACAGATTATATGAGTTGGTATATTGGGTGTGACCTGCATATGGCGTAATGTGTATGTGAACACACATCTTGCTCAGGACTGGTGTCAATGATTACACTGTCCTATGTAAATTCTACAAAGTGAGAAATTCCCTACACACATGATACCAGAGAAAATTACCAAGATGACATTGAAAGCTTAGTTAGATGTTTAAGTCAAAACATAAAGATGGCAAAGTGGGTAACAATGAAGCACGTTGTACATCCTAAGATAGAGCAAGTCAGATGGTAAGACTTGGGGAGTGGTCTGAACCCACAACTATTTATTTGACTAATTCTACTCAAAAAATTCCCCGAGAAGATGCAAGATGGGAAATGCACTTCCACTGTCGATCAGCTGAGATCAGACAAAACACTTTTGTTTGGAGTCGGGTCATGAGTCCTCATCCGTTGTCTATAAATTCAAACTAACAAATTGTGGATGAGGGAGTGAGAAACTGAACCTCCCATGGGCCCACCTCTTGACATGAGCTCTACTCAAAAACCTACAGGGAAGGCGTTGCTTTGCTAAAATACCGTCAATCTATTCCACTTGCTCGCATTTCACACACAGATAATTCTCCCTAATTTTATGAATAGACAATATTACTACACAAGGAGGAAGTTATGAATGACAATGCTTCATGACAATCCAAAATATTAACAAATAACTAATGTCTGTGTGCTTATCTAAAAATGTACACAACTTGTCAACCCAGATATCATAGACATGTCAATGTTGATAACACTCGCCACCACGAAAGATGGATGGGACGAGTTGGTGAGGGGATAGGAGGGGCAGGGGAGCTGGTGAGGGGGTTGGAGGGACAGGGGGAGATGGTGAGGGGATGGGAGGAGCAGGGGAGCTGATAAGGGGGATGGGAGGGGCAGGGGGAGCTGGTGAGGGGACAGTAGATTGGAAGGTAAGGTACAGAGTTGAAGTTATTAATTCACTTTACCAATACTAATATTTAAAATATATATTAATAGGGATCATAATACTAAAATGATACTCATTAGTAATAATAATGATAATAGTAACAATGTTAATATAACACACACATTATATTTATATATATTTTTTACTTTTTTCTAATGTTACAGCATACTGCACAGTAGTGCACTACAGCATACTGCACAGTAGTGCACTACAGCATACTGCACAGTAGTGCACTACAGCATACTGCACAGTAGTGCACTACAGCATACTGCACAGTAGTGCACTACAGCATACTGCACAGAAGTGCACTACAGCATACTGTACAGAAGTGCACTACAGCATACTGTACAGAAGTGCACTACAGCATACTGTACAGTAGTGCACTACAGCATACTGTACAGTAGTGCACTACAGCATACTGTATATTAGTGCACTTCAGCATAATGTACAGTAGTACACTACAGTATACTCTACAGTATAGTCTGTAGTATATTACCGAATACTGTACAGTAGAACAGTGCAGTACACTGTACATTAATACACTGCAATATATTTACAATATATGATCTCTGACATTGCACAAGACAAATTCCTTAAGCATTAAACAACAAGAGTTGGTTCTCAAGCATTAAGTGATGCAACACGTGCACAACTGAAGCCGGACAGCTCACCGACACAACATGTGCGTACGTGCACAACTGAAGCCGGACAGCTCACCGACACAACATGTGCGTTTAAACAACACAATATAATTTATTCTCCTTTGACACAAAAATAGAAACCTAGTACAGTAAAAGCATGAAAGGAATGCAAGAGTAGCTACACTCTTAGTAAACTCAGTCAACGATAATTACTACACCTAAACCACACAACACCAAAGAATATATTTGTTAAAGCAATGTACATTATCATGAAGTGTGAGAAACACACACAAGAAAGCGCAGTCAGATATATAGCAGTTATCATCAGTGCCAACATGCACGTTAATTATGCTAATTTCCCAAAATTTGGTTGTGCAAGCATGTTAACAATAATGTGAAGTATTTGTCAAAGACTTTTGTACAAATAGCATCTATCTAATAATACATATTGATAGTTACCAAGTTAATTTTACATACAGCATTCATACTAACCAAATTAAAAATTTAAACACTCAGGAATTCTAGCAAAAAATGCTTGTTTGTAATATTAATAATATTAATAATTATTATCATTATTATTATTATTATATTTTGTCCACATAATGCTCAGTATTTGGTTCGGTATGGCATAAATATTGCTAGCCTGGCTCTGTCATATGTGTGTGTATAACAGGGACATACAATTATTGTACAACTATGTAGAGTACATACTGTACTACATGCACTGATCTGGAATCTGTGCCAGTGCTCTGAAAATCCTCATACTGGTACACATTTATTCTACACCTATCTTTATATACATGTCTAAAGTTCCACCACATACATTGGGCCAATAAAATACAGTACTGTGTATACACTATTGCATACATAGTTGTTACCTTTACTCTCTAAACAACCAAGACAATACTTGCACTGCTGGTTCTTCACATATTACATCAGGTTGATATTAAATCTTGGGGATGAATGGTGCCATTTTTCCAATTCAATCCCACTATGAGTCAATCTGCCACCGACATGTACATACATGTTGAGTCCCCATCCTGTACAGTCTCCTAGGAACAACAACCGATGATATTGTAACTTGTTCTAGTGGTCATGTATCACTGAGAAAACATCTTGTAGAGATTATTATATTATGTTGGAGGAGATTATCAACTGATGATAATGCAAGAAGTATTCTGGTTTATTGTACTTTCACTTTATGCTAAGGATACTGTACCTCTAATTTATACTCGGGGTTACTGTACATTCAATTTACAGTATTAATATTAACAAACTGCAGAACTCACATAATGCACAGAAAACAAACGACAATGTCCCAAGGTTCTCTAGTAATGTTTGACAAATTTTAAAAATCACATGATAATTAACAAAATAGAGCAGGTATCTAATATAAATGAAATAACAATTATTGTTAAATGGATTATTCATCATATCAGGTGTTTTTGTTTTTTAAGACCTTAACCCACTTTTTACCTAACTCTTCAAACTGGCCCATCTAGCTACTGTAACAACTCCATTTGCAGCACAGAGACCATTACCCATATTTCACTCCTTTGTTTTCTTGAGGTAAATGCCCTCCCACATTTGCCACACCTGTGACTATGAAATTTCATGCCATCTCTGATAACTTTCACAAGGTTGTTATTGTCTCCAGTACTTCCCTGATCACTTCAGCTCCTCACATTTCAGCAATAATTGGTAGCAAACGTTTACTGGTAAAGCAAAAAAGTTGGCATGTCATCCTAAAGATATTATTACCAGATGGTGTGCACCACCTGTCAGTAGTCACCTACAGGGTGACTACTGGCAGCAATCACCTACAGGGGTGCCACCTGCCAGCAGTCACCTACAGGGGAGCCACCTGCCAGCAGTCACCTACAGGGGAGCCACCTGCCAGCAGTCACCTACAGGGGTGCCACCTGCCAGCAGTCACCTACAGGGGAGCCACCTGCCAGCAGTCACCTACAGGGGAGCCACCTGCCAGCAGTCACCTACAGGGGAGCCACCTGCCAGCAGTCACCTACAGGGGAGCCACCTGCTAGCAGTCACCTACAGGGGAGCCACCTGCCAGCAGTCACCTACAGGGGTGCCACCTGCCAGCAGTCACCTACAGGGGAGCCACCTGCCAGCAGTCACCTACAGGGGTGCCACCTGCCAGCAGTCACCTACAGGGGAGCCACCTACATACACATAACATGATATTTAAGAAATGACCGCAGTGAGGTTATTAGTTTTAGGAAGCAGACTGCATGGCTCCATACACTTCACATGATTACAAAATCTCTACTGCAGACTGTGCATGGTTCCATACTCCTCACATGGTTACAATATCTCTACTACAGACTGTATTATGGTTCCTTATTCCTCACATGGTTACAATATCTCTACTACAGACTGTGCATGGTTCCATACTTCTCATTATTACAATATCTCTACTACAGACTGTACATGGTTCCTTACTCCTCATATGGTTACAATATCTCTACTACAGACTGTGCATGGTTCCATACTTCTCATTATTACAATATCTCTACTACAGACTGTGCATGGTTCCATACTCCTCACATGGTTACAATATCTCTACTACAGACTGTGCATGGTTCCATACTCCTCACATGGTTACAACATCTCTACTACACACTGTGCATGGTTCCATACTCCTCACATTATTACAATATCTCTACTGCAAAAAAAAAGTTCATTATCTTCCTCTTTGGAATTTAAACCTAAAGTAACATATCTTAAATTATTTAAATAGCAAACCAAAATGTTTAGCTTGTTACAGATACATGTAAACCTTTTATAAATTATAGTTTAGCTTTGTTACTTAACGTTAGTAAAGACAGTTTTGGTATTCCTGCTGTCGGTAAGAAGCCAATAGTATTGTGAAACAGGAAATATCTGAATCACAATGTTTCATGTCCACTTTAACACACTGAGAGGATATCTGTGTACAAAGTTGGGTGTGCAGGAAAGAAAGTATGTAATGTGTTAGAAGTATGATCATTTCTTGTTACTCCAAGTCACTAAAAGCACAATTACAGTTTAACATGTTTATTGTATTGCCTCAAAAATCTGGTTAAAATCTTTCCAATCCCATTCCAGATTTTTTAGATTTCCAGAGATTCCAAACCATTGCCTAGAAACCAGCAACACCTTACCTCTGCTTTACCCCAACCACCAGAGCACACAGCAATATAAATACTATATTTTTTCTAACAAATAGTGTATTAAACTACTGCACAAGAAATTCTCAATGAATAGTAATTTCCAAAGTATCATTATCTGTCAGATATATAAACTATGTAATACTTGTTCTTCATATGCAGGCGATGAGTCACAATAACGTGGCTAAAGTATGATGACCAGACCACACACTAGAATGTGAAGGGACGGCGACGACGTTTCGGTCAGTCCTGGACCATTCTCAAGTCGATTGTGATGAGGAAGTAGAGACAGGCAATAAATAGGCACGGGAGATGAGGAGCAAAGTAAGGTGTAGTAGAGGGGCTAGTAGTAGGAACTGCAGAGGGCCTATTGGCCCATACGAGGCAGTTCCTATTATAACCACCGAAAGAGAAGGAGAAAATAATGAGAAGAGGAAAACGAGGGAACGTAGGAGAAGACAATGAACAGAAAAAAGAAAGGAAAGAGAAAGAAAGGCAAATGGAAAGGTTACCTTACTTACTTACTTACCATAAGCTTACCCTTTCCATTTACCTTTCTTTCTCTTTCCTTTCTTTTTCTTTTCTCTCTTTTTTTTCTGTTCATTGTCTTCTCCTACGTTCCCTCGTCTTCCTCTTCTCATTATTTTCTCCTTCTCTTTCGGGGGTTATAATAGGAACTGCCTCGTATGGGCCAATAGGCCCTCTGCAGTTCCTACTACTAGCCCCTCTACTACACCTTACTTTGCTCCTCATCTCTCGTGCCTATTTATTGCCTGTCTCTACTTCCTCATCACAATCGACTTGAGAATGGTCCAGGACGGACCGAAACGTCGTCGCCGTCCCTTCACATTCTAGTGTGTGGTCTGGTCATCCTTCTTCTTCATGTTATTCTTGTACTTTGGAAATCTACTGGCATTCACTAATGATGTTATATATATATGTCGTACCTAGTAGCCAGAACGCACTTCTCAGCCTACTATGCAAGGCCGATTTGCCTAATAGACTGAGTGGTTTTCTTTATTTTCAATAATTTTTTCCAAATAGCTTATTTGAATTATTATTATTATTTTATATTAAGACCATAATTTATTGACATAGTTGTGTTAGTTAAGGTTAGGTTAAGATAGGTTAGGTAGGGTTGGTTAGGTTCGGTCATATATCTACGTTAGTTTTAACTCAAATTTAAATAAATTAACTTGTACATAATGAAATGGACAGATTTATCATTTCATAAGAAAAAAATTGGAAAAATATATAAATTCAGGAAAACTTGGCTTATTAGGCAAATCGGGCCTTGCATAGTAGGCCAAGTACGACATTCTGGTCATATATATATATATATATATATAAAATTGTACCTAGTAGCCAGAATGTTGTACCTAGCCTACTATGCAAGGCCCAATTTGCCTAATAAGCCAAGTTTTCCTAAATTTATGTACTTTTCTCTCTTTTTTTCTTATGAAATGATACATTTGTCCATTTCATTATTTATAAGTTAATTTGTTGAAATTTGAGTTAAAACTAATGTAGATATATGATGGAACCTAACCAACCTTACCTAACCTATCTAAACTTCACCTAAATTAACACAACTAAGTCAATAATTTATGTTCCTAATATAATATAATAATAATTATAAAAAACTAATTTGAAGAAATTTATTGAAAATAAAGAAAATCACTCGGCCTAATAGGCAAATCAGGCCTTGTATAGTAAGCCAAGAAGTACGTTCTGGCTACTAGGTACGACATATGTACATATATGTACATATATATATATATATATATATATATATATATATATATATATATATATATATATATATATATATATATATATATATATATATATATATACACTGTATATATAACTAATATCTCAACTTAGGGCTTTACTCCTATCCAGGGATTTTTTGAAAGTAAATAGCATAAGTTTAAGTGCATAATATATGAATTTGATACAGAGGCAGAAAAAGCTAGAGTAAAATGCGACTTAATCAGGTCCACAAGTGATGACACCTGTAGTACACAAAGGATTACACAATTTGTATATTTATATGGTTTCTCTCCTGCATAAATTCTCATTTGTCACCAATGCAGGTGGGAGCTGTGTGGGTGAGAGAGGGTGTGTGGGTGGGAGTTGGTGTGGGTGGGTGTGTGGTGTGCAAGTGAGGGTATTGTATGATAGGTTGGTGGTTGTTGGTGGGTGGGTTGGGCAAGTGTTTGTGTATGGATAGGTGGTTGCTGGTGTGTAGAAGGTTGTGGGTGGGTAGATGGTTGTAGGTGAGTAGGTGGTTGTTGGTGGATAGTTGGTTGAGGATGAGTGGGTTGGGCAGGAGGTTGTTGGTGCATGGGGTGGGGAGGTGTGTGGGGGTGGGTGTTGTGGGAAGGTGCATGTTGGTGGGTAGGGTGGGGAGGAGCATGCTGGTGGGTAGGGTGGGAAGGTGCGTGTTGGTGGGTAGGGTGGGAAGGTGCGTGTTGGTGGGTGGGGTGGGAAGGTGCGTGTTGGTGGGCGGGGTGGGAAGGTGTGAGTTGGTGTGTGGGGTGGGAAGGTGTGTGTTGGTGGGTGTGGTGCGAAAGTGCATGTACGTAGGTGGAGTGGGCAGATGCGAGTAGATGTGGGGGTGGTGTATGGGAGTGTGTAATTTGAATGGGTGGTGTGCAGGGGTGTGGTTGTGTAGAATGTGGGAGTGTGGGCTGGTGTAGGATGGTTGGGATAGGTTTCTCTTCTATATGAGATCTCTCATGCATCACTAAAGCATGTTTTTGCGAAAAGTATTCAAAACACATTAAGCACTGATATGGCTTCTCTTCTGTGTGTGTTCTCTTATGTGACACCAAACCATGTTTTTGTGAAAATTCTTTTGAACACTCTGAACACTGATAAGGTGTTTCCCCTGTATGATTTCTCATATGTGATGCAAAATTTGCTTTATCTGAAAAGTCTTTCGAACATTCTGAACACTGATAAGGCTTTTCTCCTGAATGAGTTCTCTTGTGAGTTACCAATATATGCTTTTGTGAAAAGTATTTTAAACATTCTGAACACTGATATGGTGTCTTCCCAGTATGAGTTCTCATGTGTGATACTAGAGCAGACTTATATGAGAAGTCTTTAGAACACTCTGAACACTTAAATGGTTTTTCTCCAGTGTGTGTTCTTTTGTGTGCTACCAAACCATGTTTTTGTGAAAAATATTTTAAACACTCTGAACACTGATAAGGTTTCTCCCCTGTGTGAGTTCTCTTATGTTTTACCAAATCACATTTTTGTGCAAAGTTTTTAAGACACACTGAACATTGATATGGTTTCTCTCCAGTGTGATTTCTCATGTGAGATGCAAGATTAGCTTTATCTGAGAAGTCTTTTAGGCATACTGGGCATTTATAAGGTTTTTCTCCAGTGTGAGTTCTCTTGTGAGTTACCAATATATGTTTTTGTGAAAAGTATTTTAAACATTCTAAACACTGATATGGTGTCTTTCCTGTGTGTTGTCTCATGTGTGATATTAAACCAGCTTTGTATGAGAAGCATAATGAACACTCTGAACATTGATAAGGTTTTTCTCCAGTGTGGGTTCTTTTGTGTGCCACCAAACCATGTTTTTGCGAGAATTTTTTTAAACATTCTTCACACTGATATGGTTTCTCTCCTGTGTGAGTTCTCTTATGTTTTACCATGTCACATTTTTGTAAGAAATCTTTTAAACACTCTGAACACTGATAGGGTTTCTCTCCTGTGTGATTTTTCATGTGTGCAGCAAGATTAGATTTATCTGAGAAATCTTTTAAACACTTTGGGCACTGATAAGGTTTTTCTCCAGTATGAATTCTCTTGTGGTTTACCAATTTATGTTTTTGTGAAAAACATTTTGAACACTCTGTACACTTATAGGATTTCTTTCTTTTGTGAGTTTTCTTGTGTAATGACAGAGCAGATTTGTCTGGGAAGTCTTTTGAACAGACTGAACACTGATATGATGTCTTTACTTCATGAGTTAATAAGTGTGATGCTAGAAGAGCTTTATCTGAGAATTCTTCTGAGCACTCTGCACATTGATATGTCTCTTCTTTGTGTGTCTTCATGTGTGATTCTAGGGCATCATCGTCCGAGAACTCTTCTGAACACTCGGAACACTGGTGGGACTTTTTTTCCATGTGAGAAATCATGTGTTTAACCAAAACAGATAACCCTTCAATTGCGCATCGCATCATATGATGCTTTGAGTGACTTGCAGTAAATTGCGCATCGCATCATATGATACTTTGGAGTACTACGCAAGATTTAAACGGCCGGCGGATACACGGGGTTCACCACACCTTCATCAGGGCTCTTGTAAACAGACGCCATTTTTTAAAAAAAATCGTGGGCCAAACTCCCGGGTGTTAGGGGCCTCAGTATTGAGTGAGCTACCAAGCCTGACGCACGCAGCATGAGCTCACAGCACTGCTGTTCAGCTTGTGACCACAGCATCGCCTAAAAATGCCATAATATACTTGTTCATGCTATTATGTAGCGATGATATTATTACAGAAGACCCCTGACTGTGATAAAACTGACCAGGGTTCTGATAATAGCAGGATTGTGGTGATATTTAGCGCTGTGCTCCATGGAGGAAGGAGTAATGCTGTGGGAGGGAGGGTGGTGGCGTTGTCTTCTGACTGTGTGTGGCCACCTTTTATTGACTGCACTCACCATACCAGCTTAGTGGTTCGCTATGGTGAACACAAATGTAGATACTTATATATAACGTGTGTATAGAGGGTATAAACAGCAAGAGGAGTAGGTTGGGAGCCGCCATTTTGGTGAGGGCGGTGGCGTCGTCTGCACGCCATTTATCATGTTGTTTACTGGTTACCACGATGGTCTTTGGGCACCATACCAGTTTACTTGTACAAGTATGGTGAATAAAACAGGTAGATATTTATATATAATGTGTGTATATAGCGTAATAACACCACAAACAGTATTGTTGGAGGAGAAATATTAGTGCGTCTGGCCTTGAGGGCGGCAGCCATCAGCTGACTGTATGCGGTCCTACGTCTTTGTGCCTTTGCTCACCATACAAGCTTAGATGTACAGTTATGGTGAACAAAACATGTAAATACTTATATATAACGTCTGTATATAAAAGCAAAAACAGTATGGTGGGTGGAGAATGGTGGCAAGTCAGGTGAGGTGAGGGAGGGAGGGAGTGGCAGCCAGTGGCGGGCTGCCACTGCCACTCAGCATACCAACTTAGTGGTTCGTTATGGTGAACACGAATGTAGATACTTATATATAGCGTCTGTATATAGTGAATAAAAGCAAAAACAGTATTGTGGGAGGAGAATGTGGGTGAGTCAGGTGACTTGAGGGAGGGCGTGAGTGGCTGGCTGGTACACGGCGGTCACTCCTCGTTACTTTTTGACTCATAATAGCAACTTAGTGGTTCGTTATGGTGAACAAAACATGCAGATACTTATATATAACCTGTGTATATAGTGTAATAACCAACAAAGTATTTGTTCACTGTTTGATGAACATAATTGAATCAACAATATGCAGGGAGCACGGACATACTTTTCCTGAGTACAGGCGAAGAAACAATGATTCTTTCACTCATTGTTATAGCAGTAAAATATAAAGCTATATGGTCACACTACATACTATTGAATAATATTATTTTTGAGTACAGATGATTCACTCATTTTATTAAAAATATATCACACTACACACTATTGAATAATATTACAGCAAAAAAACTACGAAAAATCAGAGACATTGAAATAATTAGGTAATTATCTCTTTGTGGCAACTCCGGCCTGACAGCTGGTGAGCAACAGACCGCCTGGGACGCATGCTGAGTCAGCGCCTGTTTTTTGCCAGACTTCCCCGCCCTATACCGGGCAATATATATCACTTACGATTTTTTTATTATTTTTCCCATGATCAGTGAACACAAATTAACAGGTTAGGAAAAAAAAAGATTTTTTTTTTTTTTTTTTTTTTACATGCGCCTGTGGGGAACATATAGCCATATTTATAACCACCTAGCATGTTAACCATTAACATGCTAGGGGTATAATATCCTTTCTTCCCCACAGGCGCATGTAATTTTGAAAAAAAAAAAAAATTATTTTTTCTTCCTAACCTGTTAATTTGTGTTCACTGATCACGGGAAAAATAATAAAAAAATCGTAAGTGGCATATATTGCCCGCTATAGGGCGGGGAAGTCTGGCAAAAAATAGGCGCTGACTCAGCGTGCGTCCCAGGCGGTCTGTTGCTCGCCAGCTGTCAGGCCGGAGTTGCCACAAAGAGATAATTACCTAATTATTTCAATGTCTCTGATTGATTTTTCATAGTTTTTTTGCTGTAATATTATTCAATAGTGTGTAGTTTGATATATTTATATAATAAAATGAGTGAATCATTGCTGTACTCAAAAATATGGTGTGCATATTGTTGATTCAATTATGTTCATCAATCAGTGAACAAATACTTTGTCGGTTATTACACTATAAGCACAGGTTATATATAAGTATCTGCATGTTTTGTTCACTATAACGAACCACTAAGTAGCTATTATGAGTCAAAAAGTAACGAGGAGTGACCGCCGTGTACCAGCCAGCCACTCCCGCCCTCCCTCAAGTCATCTGACTCACCCACATTCTCCTCCCACAATACTGTTTTTGCTATAATTCACTATATACAGACGTTATATATAAGTATCTACATGTTTTGTTCACCATAACTGTACATCTAAGCTTGTATGGTGAGTAAAGGCACAAAGACGTAGGACCTCACACAGTCAGCTGATGGCTGCCGCCCTCAAGGCCAGACGCACTAATATTTCTCCTCCAACAATACTGTGTGGTGTTATTACGCTATATACACACATTATATATAAATATCTACCTGTTTTATTCACCATACTTGTACAAATAAACTGGTATGGTGCCCAAAGACCATCGTGGTAACCAGTAAACAACACCGTCGTCTGCACGGTGGCGTCGTGCAGACGACGCCACCGCCCTCACCAAAATGGCGGCTCCCAACCTTCTCTTGCTGTTTATACCCTCTATACACACTTTATATATAAGTATCTACATTTGTGTTCACCATAGCGAACCACTAAGCTGGTATGGTGAGTGCAGTCAATAAAAGGTGGCCACACACAGTCAGAAGACATCGCCACCACCCTCACTCCCACAGCATTACTCCTCCCTCCATGGTGCACAGCGCGAAATATCACCACAGTCCTGCTATTATCAGAACCCTGGTCAGTTTTATCACAGTCAGGGGTCTTCTGTAACAATATCATCGCTACATAATAGCATGAACAAGTATATTTTTGCATTTTTAGGCTATGCTGTGGTCACAAGCTGAACAGCAGTGCTGTTAGCTCATGCTGCGTGCGTCAGGCTTGGTTACTCACTCAATACTGAGGCCAATAACACCCGGGAGTTTGGCCCACGATTTTTTTTTTAAATGGCGACTGTTTACAAGAGCCCTGATGAAGGTGTGGTGAACCCCGTGTATCTGCGGGCCGTTTAAATCTTGCGTAGTACCCCAACACGTCATATGACGTGATGTGCAGTTGACTGGAACAACGTCCAACATGTCATATGACGTGATGCGCACTTTAAGGGTTAAGACCTCCAAGGCATTGAGGTAGGGATGGCAGGCAGTGACTGATGGAGGAAGGCATTGAGGGGGAGAGTCAGGGAGAGTGTTGGTGGTGATGGGGTGGGAAGGAGAGTGGTGGTGGTGAGGGAGTGTAGTGGTGGTGAGGGAGTGTTTGCTGTGGTGATGAGGGAGTGTTGGGGTGGTGGTGAGAGAGGGGGGGTGTTGGGGTAGTGGTGAGGGAGGGAGGGAGTTGGGGTAGTGGTGAGGGAGGGAGGGAGGGAGTTGGGGTAGTGGTGAGGGAGGGGAGTTGGGGTAGTGGTGAGGGAGGGGTGTTGGGGTAGTGGTGAGGGAGGGAGGGTGTTTGGGGGTGGTGGTGAGGGAGGGAGAGTGTTTGGGGGTGGTGGTGAGGGAGGGAGAGTGTTGGTGGTGCTGGTGAGGGAGGGAGAGTGTTGGTGGTGCTGGTGAGGGAGGGAGAGTGTTGGTGGTGCTGGTGAGGGAGGGAGAGTGTTGGTGGTGCTGGTGAGGGAGGGAGAGTGTTGGTGGTGCTGGTGAGGGAGGGAGAGTGTTGGTGGTGCTGGTGAGGGAGGGAGGGTGTTGGTGGTAGTGGTGAGGGAGGGAGAGTGTTGGTGGTGCTGGTGAGGGAGGGAGGGTGTTGGTGGTAGTGGTGAGGGAGGGTGTAACAAACTAGGTTTGTTGCAAGAAATTATTCAGTATAGATTCTTATAGACATGGGGACCACGTAGTCTTGAAAGTTTGGAGTAAGAGGTTACTCGACCTGACTCTGCAGAGAAAGGTCATCCCTCCAGGGATTAAAAGGATTAGCGTTAAAGATTGCAAGATGGCTGGTTATCTGTATTAATGCAACATATGATGACTATTTCGACAAAATACAGTAACAACTAATTTTATTAAGTATGTAGGCTAGGCCAACATGAAGGTAGAGGTTGAGATCAGGGTTCATACACCGTCATTATGAAGTGACGTCATGAGTAGGAGGTATTAGGTCGGTGGCCGCTTATGACGTAGCTGAGGCAAGGGGGTCACGCGGTTGACGTGACCACAATCTCCCATATCTAGTAATTCGTAATGTACAAATTCAGTTCACTAGCCAATATTGTACAGTGGAACCTCTATTAACGAGTTTAATCCGTTCTGGCACCGAGCTTGTTACCTGGAAAACTCGTCTTTGGAAACAAATTTCCCCATTTAAAATAAAGGAAATAAATTTAATCCGTTCCACTCCCAAAAACATCCATACTTGTATGACTTTTTTTTATGTAAATATAATACTGCACATGTAAATATAAATGTTTTGTTGTAGTGTTTTAATATTTACTTTACCTTATGAAGAGTCGTTGCTGGCTTGAGGGAGACGATGGAGAGGTGGGAAGAAGGAGAGGGGTTATGGTGTGGAAGGAGAATCCACCTCTGAGTCAAGCGGACTCTCTTCTTGGGAATTTCACCCAAATTTCATTTCAAATGTCACACAAGGATGCGTTAGACCAGCACCAAATAAAAAACTTCGTTGATTACACTCGTTGTGTCAACAATATAATAGTCTTACCACGAAGAT